GGGAGTTTGCTGTTGCAAATTATAGGACTCGGGCTCTCTAAGCACAACGTTTAATTTATGGGAAACGAACTTGCTTTTGCCATTTTATCTGGCTTGAGTTAATAAGTTATCTTACTGTTGCATGTATTATCATGACTTTAAGGATCTGTGTCAGCTTATTATTTTTGTTGTAGTCTAAATTCTCCGTTCCTATTTTCCGTACAGAAGATTTCATCTCCTTGGCTTGTCAGGGAAACTGATGGAGCAGACAAGGTGACAGCTCTCGAGAAACTGTTTGAGGTAAGTGTTAAGGGTCGTAAGTTTCAAGTTGGTGGAAAAATCTTTAAGTGCTCCCTGCAATGAAGAAATGGTACTATAACAAGAACATCTCAAAGACACGTAAAACATAGCTGGGAAATGGTTTGCCAACTGTCAGCTGGAGAGTTTCCCATCTTGGACAATTTAGAGAGTGTATTAAGGCACTTCTTTCCATTAGAAACCATTTCGAGTCAGATTAGATTTCCAAATGAGACACCATCGATAGTGACAATTAAAGCTAAACATGTGTATAGTGTCTCATGAAAGTAATCCAATAACAATCATTTCTTGTTTCTTTTCATTTCACGTGTCTTTTAGTTTGCTTCAAGCGGAAACGAAGAAGAAGTAGAAAAGCTGTTATCGAGTGGGAGAGAACCTGTGGATGAAAAATTCTGTCACCCTCTGTGTGCTTGTGACAAGTGCGAAAAGCTACATAGCAGGTAAACACTTCGCTGTAAAGTGGCGAAAGTAAAATAAAAAAATATCGTTCTAGGATAAATCCCGAAACTAGCAATCCCCATAGAGGCTTGTTCTCTTTGTCAACGCCCCGCTCAACTCAAAACAGCGATACTGCAATATAAAAGTTATTAATTCAATCGGTAGTAAAGTGAGCTTAAGTGGCATTGTGGAATCGTGGGATCACCACAGAATATCATGAAATGTTCAGTCGTGTTAAAACAATAGCAGTCAGCTGTCGCCAAATTTCAGGAACTCGAAATTTCAGCTGCTACCTCTATCATTTTCAAAATTAACGCACTCCACAGGAAGGGTTCTGAAAACTCTATCAGCGCACCGAGATATTGAAGCAGCAGACAAACGGGTAAACGAATTTCTTCTATCATGTCGGACGAAGAGCTTAGTCGCAACAAACATTAATGGCGTTTTTGCTCCCCGAAAATAGTGAGCTAAATAGGGCTCTCAAGCCTTTAACAACCGGAAGTGATTAACATGTAACTTCTCCCCATCATATCCATACATTATCCAGCAAATAGGTGATGAGAATAACTCAAACTTAACTAGAAGTTATTTTGATCTAACACTGAATTCTCATTACTAATTAACAAGGAAAAGTGTAGTAGCTAGAAGGGAGAATTAAAAGTCAGATCTTGGGAGGTAAAGGGTTAACGAAATAGCCCATTTCCGAATTACCCTTGGCCCCATTTTCAAAACGAGTCCTGGTGCTCATCCTTTCATATGATTATAAGTTTTCATTCACATGCAAATGAATGCAACTCATTTTCACAAGAATGGTTGAGCACCAGGCCTCGTTTTGAAAAAGAGGCCAAAAGTAATTCGGAAATTGCCTTTTGGGCTGGCTTGTTACGGTATTACAGTAAAAACTTCAAGAATGATGGTAATTAGGTTAAGGATGGGTGGAGGAGTAAGAAATTTACATGTATTCCTAACAAAAAAAACTGTTAAGATGAAAATAACATAATCGTCTTTTTTGTAGCAAACGCCATGATCCGTTTGCAGTGACAGTGTTCTCTAGAGATGATCTTGGACGAACCGTGCTGCATGTGGCTTCTGAGTACGGTGAGTAAGGATTGAGTTGTGTTTCTTTGTTTATAATGGCGATTAGTTTATTTATTGTTTCTTCTTATGCCCTCTCCTCGACCCAAGTTCCTTCTCTCTTGTGTCTTGCGAACTGCCAAACTGCGTTAGTAATTATCTCGTACAGTACGTGATTTTCTATCTAATGATAATAATAATAATACTAATAGTAGTTTATTAAACTCTCTTGCAGCAACTTACTGAATTAACGAGTTATGATGCAATGAAACTTAATAAGAACGACTATGTACATTTCTGTATACATTAAGTAGAAGTTATATACACTACACAGAACATACATCACATTTGTTAAAAATACTTAAAAGTTAAAAAGTCTTCCGTGCGCTTCGTTCTACAGGTAGTAACGTTTCTGTAAAGATACAACTGGTCTGATTTGTGCCTGAGGTTATAGGGACAGGTATCGTCTAAGCGTGTTGGTAGAAGAGTCTTGCACCATATTACGAATAGCGTGCGAGATCGCTCGTTTCATGCCGGATCACGTTGCCTAGGTGACTACATCGAAACAAAGTAGCTTGGTGAGAAAGGGAACTGGTTCGGATTATTTGTGATGTTCTTTATTGATAATCAACAGGTCACTCTAGCTTGATGTACAAACTGATCAAAAGAGGTGCTGTGGTAAATGCTATGGACTATAACGGAACAACAGCCCTGCATTTGGCCTGTCAGCGGGGACACAGCAGCGCTGCAGTGAGTAGGAAATATTTATCTCTACTTTGCTGGCAATAGCGAACTAGAGGTTTCAGTTTGTAACAATTGTATCTTTTGGAAGTCAGGATAGACACTGTAGTGAACCCATATCTAAGTCCACCTATCGACTTTGCACCAAGTGGCCTGCGCATTTGAATCATGAGAGGTTTTTGTAATCGAGTGCTTTTTGAAAGGATAGGTGATTTGAACGTTGTTCAATGCCCGTCCTGGGGATGGTGGGGCTGGCCTTCGTGTGTTTCTATGGCAGGGCCACAGCTTCTAAAGACTTGCGTTCCAGAAAGCACAGTTCCGAACGACACTGAAACATACATGCTTTACCACCACGATAAAGAGCAAACCCAGTCACTGTTTATTTCGAGCGTTCAACGGTCTCACAGAGGACTGAAAAATGTATTAAAACCAAATTACGCTTGGTTTCGTGCGAGAAAAGCGAAGAGATAAATCAGGAATTTTAACTTTGCAGCATTTGATTGTGCTATACAAGAAAAGTCGTCACACCGGTTTTTATATATATATTTTTTCTTTTTACTTTAAACATTCTTGTTTAAGTTGGTACTGATGCATTACAAAGCTGATGTAAACGCTCCCGACAACGATGGCAATACGCCTCTACACTTATGCACAGCGAATGGACACGAGAAGGTGAGGGATTTTTTTTTTTAACTTTCGAGGTGATCGACAGATTCTTCATAACCGTCCTTCACTAGCTTACGATTTCTTTTGTTATCGCGTCTTGGAGCAAAGTTTCGTTCAACGACGAAGAATTAATGTGATGTTTCCTTATAGTGTACAAAGGCGCTGATATTTTTTGACACGTCACTGGACGTGCTCAAGGTGAACGCTGCCAATGAACACGGAGACACACCGTTGCATTTGGCGTCTCGTTGGGGTTATGGTAAGGCTTTAAATGAGTAGCAAAAGTAGTCGTTACGATCCGCTCTCTCACGATCCACTCAGCATAACAAACAGAAATCTTGTAATTCATCTCTAATTAGTTACTTGAAAGTACTCCCTTTCCCCCAAAAAACGTTGCAAGAAATTAGTGTATAAAAAGAAAAAAAAACAGGAAAGATTTATTGATTCATTGAGCAATTTCACATCATCACGAAATATTGCGGCAAATTTGATTGCCTCGTTAAAGAAATGTTAGACATTCGCATGCGTAAACCAACACTGAACGTGCAAACAGATTCCATCCGCGCCAAGGTGTTTGTTTAGGCCGTTTTTTGTAATTTATGCTTATCTTGTACCTTTTCTTAGTTGCATGCTAGTTAACTAGTCCCTTGATAATGGAGTCATGATGATTCCGAAACGTCGAGCAGCAATAAATCTTTCCTGGTTTTTTTATATGCTTTTGCTTCAGCAAATCTCTACTGATCAAATGTAAGAAATGAAATGAAATGAAATGAAATGGGGGCGAGAGGAAGGAAGATAAAAAAGAATATCTGTCATATGTACCTCTTACATGAGAAGTGTGAAAGCTTTAAAGAACTCAGGTCTGCTTCCATTTTTTCGATTAGTTGGCTATCAAATCGTTCGATTATCTGGAGTATATTTTACTTTCACATTCTTTCATTTCTTCATTCATTTCCGCTTGTTTTTCTTTGTCAGCTGAACTTGTTCCGCTTTTGCTTGAGAATGGCGCTTCACTGGAGGCTCGAAACAAAGACAAAGCGACTCCGTTGGACAGCTCCCATAATAAAAAGGTAATTCTCGATTCATCGTGGCTTTTTTTAATTCTGAAAGAGGAATGGCAATAGAGGAGTACTATGCCCGCTTCTTGTTTTCTCCTGGCTTGGTTTTGTGCGAGCTTTTGGTTAAAACTTGTTTCCGTTAACTCCGTTTCTCTGGAACATACGTAATCGGCAGGTCACCGAGATACTCCTTGAAGCACAAGCGTTAGCCTGCGAAGAGCAAGAACACGCAGCAATATCTTATCCGGAGGAGAGAGTAAGCGTGCACCTGTTCTTGTCTAATGGTGACGTTTATTTTAGTATCTTATTCCACAAATCTTTGTACTTAATCAACCTCTGCGATTAGCTATAATGACACGAACAGCCTTCCAAGGTATATTAGTTTACCGATTATCACAGACTACTGTACTACGTAGTGTCAATCCGCTGACCGCTGACCACGATGGCTGTGGGCTCCTGATACAACACCGTAGTATAGTAACAGACTGCAATCGCGTAGGGAACAGATAGGAAAACCAAAGCTCTTACAAATCGGTTTGTCCGTCTAATTGAATATTGGCCAGTGGTAATGCAACAAGTACAATTTAAGAGAAGCTCCTAATTATTTCGTTGCGTCTTTGATAGTTGTTGTTGTTGTTCTTAGTCCAACTCAGTCGTGGAAAGGCCACTTATTCATTCCAAGGAGTTTCCAAACGCTGTTTCAGAGGATCAGGAAAAAACTAAGGAGGTAAACCCGAATTTACAGATATTGAGAAATGGCCATTTGAATGTTAAGCCTCTGTAAAGAAAGAACGCTTACGCTCAGTCCATCTGATAATCATTACTCCTTTCACACGAAAACCTCCCACAATCCGACTCAGAAATCGTACGGGTGAAAGAAAGAAGAAAGTTCAAATCCTCGTAAGCCACCCATATGCAACCAATCATATCGCTAGAAACCCATGTATCTTCCAATGACATTTTTTGAAGAAAATATACAACAATGTTCGATTATTTTAGCAGCTAGCTTATTGCTGTATCTTTTATTCTTTTTTTTTCCAAAGATCGACCGATTTATTCGTTCAGTTGCTAATGGCGATGTAGAACTGGTAAGAAAGCACTCATACTGTGGTATGTAGAGGGTAAACGAACTGAGATTGAATTTCAGAAAATACACAAGTTTGAAACCGAAAAGTTCCACTCACTGACGAGCGAACGTTACCACAATTGTATGTTTGACCGGGCCGATTTTAGCCTGCGAGTAGGTCCGCATCATTAGCGCCTGGGCGCGAGCAATTCTTCGCTCGCGGGAAACTGGGTATGAGGCCTTGAGCAAGGCAAGCGAGAGGTCTGCGCGAAAGGGGGTCTATTATTGAAAATGAGGGTGCCAGACCCTTTCGCCAAAACTCTCCCCGACTCGTCTCCAATCTTCCCGCGGGCGGAGAAAGGCGCGTCACGCAAGGCTGATAGTAGTGTGAGAGCCAACCCGCCCGAAGCCGTGGTCGGTTTGTTAGTATCTTAACCCTTTGCACCCAGACATCAATCAAGAGCTTCTTTAGTTGGTGATCACGTTTTTTATTCTCATGACCTTAATGCGTACGTCTGGGTGCGTACGTTATTTATCCTTTCAAAGTTTCCAACTCGAATTTAAACCCGAGTTTTCAAACTGTTGCAGAGAAGAGCTTGAATGCTTCAATTCCATATTAATCAGTCCATTTTGTTTGTCTTCATTTTGAGTCAGCCTTGTTCCTTGGTGGTTTATGTGATGTAGTTCTATCAGTTCCAAGGGATTTTGTCTAAATAACTGTTCTCTTTCAGGTTCGGTATAGGCTTGGTCTGAGCGACGACGAAGAAGACGAGGAGGACGGGGGCGAGCAGCCTCGCTCTGATCAAGACCTCTGTCATCCTTTGTGTCAGTGTGACAAGTGCAGCAAGTGGCAGAAGGCATGTCACTTGATCGAGATTTTGATACTGTATTAATTTCTCTAAACATTGCCTTTGACTTAGAAAGTCACGTGTTCAGCACTAAATACACGAGGACATGAAAGAAATATGGAGGAATTATTCTTACACTGGTATGAAACAAAAAAGCAACATCGAAGAATTCACTGTCGTTTTACCAAGTTAGTTCATTTGGAAAAAAATCCCCAGACATAATTAGAATAGACCACATCTCAAATGCGACATAATGGTGGCGGGAGTACGCTACAAAAACAAAATAGGCGCTATTAATAATTTTTCTCCCTTCGCCGCACACCTTCCGTGACTCTCGCTCAGCTCGCGCTTTTCCTCTGCTTAAAAAGAAAAGGAAGAGACTGCTACGCAGTCAACGGACTTGGTGCTTCCATTAACTGACCATCAAAGAAAGTTTTGTCTGCCCCAGGCATACAAACGTCGAGAACTCTGAACAGTTTCTGACGTTCATTTCTTAGATAATATTGTTTTGACTTAAAATTTTCAGCGCGTGCTATTGTGCTGGATCTCGCCGAAGGGTTTATGCTGTTAAGATCTCGTGTAAAACTTTCTTTGATCGTCAGTTTGTTCGACCGGGCCAGTTTTAGCCTGCAAGCAGGTCCGCATCATTAGTGCCTGGGTACGAGCAATTCTGCACTCGCGGGAAACTGAGTATGAGGCCTTGAGCAAGGCGAGCGAGAGGTCTGCGCGGAAGGGGGTCTAGTACTGAAAATGAGGATGCCAGACCCTTTCGCCAAAACTCTCCCCGACTCGTCTCCAAAACTTTCTTTGATGGTCAGTTAATGGAAGCACTAAGTCCGTTGCCCCCGTAGCAGTCTCTTCCTTTTCTTTTTAAGCAAAGAGGAAAAGCGCGAGCTGAGCGAGAGTCACGGAAGGTGTGCGGTGAAGGGAGAAAAATTATTAATAGCAGCTATTTTGTTTTTTGCTCCGATTTGCCGTATTCTTTTGCGTGACTTCGGTTAAGCTAAAATGGAGAGGAGAGGTCTGCTGCATAGGCCTCTAAATCCTTGTTGGCTCTCAAAATCGGGCTTTCTGCAAAGCTTGTATCACAGCCAGCATACTCATGTGCCACAGTGGGTGATGTGAACTTCAATTGTGTTCTTTGTAAATTCTTCGACAGAGATCGAGGCAAGCAGCAGAGAGGATTATTCATCCAAATGTTAAGAATGGCGAAGGAAACACGCCGCTTCACTTTGCAGCTATCAGGGGATACGAAGAAATGACGAACTTGTTATTACGGCGAGGAGCTCAGACTGATGCGAAGAATTACACCCAGATGCGAGCGCCTTTACATTTCGCCTGTCAGTACAATCACCCGAGGGTATGTTTATGAATAGTATTACGATCTTTACGTAGCATTATAATTTGGATATATCAACAAAGTTGAAATGGTAAATTGGCCATATGCTTAAGCAACATATGGCAATCTGCGGTCTTTCCTTGCACTTAGGTGGCACGGAAAGCCGTAAAAATCTTGAACAAAAGCTCATCTTTCAAACCGGCAGTCTAAATCCCACAGGGATCAATGAACGCTTTTCATTCCACTAATTTATTCATGTTTTTCTCGTTGCCATGCACCCACCAATAACGTAGCTCCATTTTCTGCCTTTAAAAGCACACACTACCCACAATTCCTCTATTCGCTCCGACGAAGGGCTAACGCTCGAAACGTCAGCTTTTGTAATCATTACGGTGGCCAATTTACCATTTCAACTTTGTTGATATATCCAAATTATTTCGTTACTCCCACCGACGCAGCCCCAAACAGTTTCTTTCGAAACTATCAGCCTTTATTTACGTAGCATTGTCGAGCCCTTTAGCTAGCTGGACAGAATCATTTTTACCCTTTATACCCTAACATCAGTATGTATATTCTCCATACTGTTCTCTACACCAGTTTCCTATGGTGCTGAAGTTACAACCTCAAGCGTTCTCTTTTACAAACTTAGAAAGTTCATGGATTCGACTGTCGGCGAGAACCCGTTTTTATTTCTTTTTGTTTTGCCGTTTTAATATGTTATTTGGTTTGTGTAGCTCTTGAAGGTACTATAAACGTTTGAATAAACTATCCGAGGTGTCCTTTTCGAAACATTTTCCGGAGTTGCGAGTGTATAATGTAACGAAAACATTTAGAGATCTCTTTCACTTTACTTCGTATATGATCACCCTTATATGCCTCTTTTTTATCATCATTATTATTAATTCTTATTTCCATCTTTATCAGGTGGCCGGTCTTCTTTTAAGTAACAAGGCTAAAATTAACATTAAAGATTACAAAGGCAACAGCCCCTTGCATCTGTGCTGCTTCGCCGGACATTTGGATCCTGCTAGCGTCCTCATAGGGGTACGTCAGAATGTTATCAACAATCCGTGTCAATCTCGTCCATACTTCAACATTTTCGGTCCATTTTCGGTCCATTTTCGGTTTATTCTGACTTACTTGGTGTTTGTTTATCCTTGCAAACTATTATTCCAAGATTTTCTTTTATGATCTAACTGTTATTGAACATTTTTTCAGTGGATGGCACAAGCTCATTTAACTGTCTACCACGAAACGAACGACGTCCGTCTTTTTATATAGTTGGCGAGAATAGATAAAATTATCAGTTGGTAATGCTTTATTTTTATATAATAACGAATTCTCAGAATTCAGTGGTAAGGAAACTCGCTGAAGCTTCATGGGAGAATTATTTATCAGTTCTCGGGAGACAGGATTAATCTAACTTTCCTGATCTGTTCATATTGTGATACAGCACGGCGCCAACGTGAATCTCTTAAATGACCAGGGAAATACACCTCTGCACGTAGCAGCCAGGTATGGCATTGTCTACCAAACTCGCTCCTGAGTTTTGTGATTACTAAGGAAAAACGCCCGTATCAATGTTATCTTAGGGGTGCTTTTCAAGAGCAAAATGCCCTTTTTCAGTCTCGCCTTCTTGTGTCATGTGTTGACGATTTCGTGGCTGCAGTCATTCCAGAGCATTACTATGTTCTAGAGACGTGGATTGCCTTTGTTTTTAATCGATTCAGTGGCGGGGTTAGTTAATCCAGAGGTTTTAAATGTTGATGGAAACTGAAATTGTCAATGGTTTTTCATTCTGTAGTGGCGCACTTGTCATGTGTCGGAACTGGACGACAAACTGAGTCAATTTAATCCTGATCGTTTAAACATTCTTTCACTATAGTTGATGCAATCAAGGAATAAAGTAATCTTGCCCGTGCATTCTTGCAATCTTGAATACACAGTAATGGCAAACTTAGCACAGCTGCTCTGCTGAACGCTATTCGCTGTGTGACTTTTCCTATCCTTTTCTAGGTTTAATTATGTCAAACTTGTGAATTTGTTGCTCGAGAACGACGCGTCGGTGACGATAAGGAATAAGAAGCAGCTGACTCCTTTACAATATGCTCAAGTACGTACTTGTATGTCATGGCTACAAGCAAACTGTCAGAGAACTTGATAAAATGTAGGGGGGGAAGGGTGCATCTTGCGATAAACCTGCATCCAAGGGGAGGAGATCTACCCCTAGTTGCACCATGCAAGAAAAAAAAAAAAAACGAACACTATAGGCCCCCCGGCTAGCTCAATTGGTTAGAGCGCCGGATTTTATTGGGCGGAAGGTCAAGGGTTCGAGCCCTGGCCGGACCAATACTCATGGTCCTAAAATAACTGAGGAGAATTTGCTACCTTTCTATGATATAAAGAAATGGATAGATATTCTAGTCTTCTCGGATAAGGACGAATAAACCGTAGGCCCCGTCTCCTGCAGGGTTAGGGGTAGGAGACGCCAATTTCCCACGCACGAGATTACTGTGTGGTGGATGTCCTCCCCTGGGGTGGGATGGGGGGGTGTTCACAGGGCCCCATTTAAACTAACGAACTGCTAAACTGGGCTACATTGTATACATATTCGTAAATACATACATGCATACATCACGTTTAGCTATGATTAGACCATTTATGAAATACTTCTTCATTAGAACGTTCCAACTTGAACTTTTTTCGACGTTATATGCAGACTTCAATAAACTAGTTGAAGTCGACACTTTTCTCACTATCTGTCAGCGTGATGACGTCATACGTGCTCTGGACCAAGCGAGTGGTATCAGCTTCGATGCTCGGACGAAGAGACTAAGTTACAGCAGCCACAACTCGCCATACGAACAGGGTAGGGATATACATACTTCTTCAGTACTTACTGGGTTTGAAGTCGTTAATTCTAGGTACGGAGCGAGTCTTTCTACGCGTCTTGATGGAAGACGAACTCAGCAAGATGTTATGAATATCCTTAGTGGGTGTAAAAAGGGTTTTGAAAACGATTTCTAGTGAAGGATAACAGCTTAGAAAGCATAACGGTTAAGTCGAAACCGCCTTTGAGTCGTTAGCTTATCTAGCAGAATTAGTAGGAGACAAAATGGAAACAAGTATTTTCCTAGGAAAGTTAGGAGAGTTTGGCCATGAATTTGGAGAAACTCTGGCTTCAAAAGCAGCATACGTAGTAGTAAGCGGTCGGGCCAGGCAAGGTTAACTCGTAACTGAGACATAACTTTACCATTACCTTAAAGCTTGGGCGCCAACCATTAACTCAATGATATTTTCAGTTCCATTTTGGTTTGCCTTGATTCAGGTAATAAAGATTCAAACTCAGCTCTACTCAAGACCCGATCAAACTCAATCCCAGCCCACATCGGAGGGAACGTTGCCAAACAGCCGTTACCTGTTACCAGTTCTACTGGTCCCACGTCGACCGCGCTGCCCACAAGTGAGCCTGGAGACATTTCTCTTCCTTCGCACGAGAGACTCAACAAATTGTTTGAGAGATTGGAAAGAGGCGATGTCGAACGGCTTCAAGACATTGGAAAGGCTGTCAAGTCTTTTGATAGGTGAGACCTACGTTGGTCTGTTTTCAGAACCATTTTCGTTTTATCCCGGGCTCTTCGTGCACGTTTGCCCCGCGCGCCTCTACCGTTACGCGAGCTTCCTCGCTTAAGAGACTGGCTGTGAATAGGCTAAGAAGCAGTCCTCCTCCTCCTGCTTCTCCTCGTCTTCCTCCTCCTTCTCCTCCTTCTCCTCCTTCCCCTCCTTCTCCTCCCTTTCCTCCGCCTCCTCCCTTTCCTCCGCCTCCTCCCTTTCCTCCGCCTCCTCCCTTTCCTCCGCCTCCTCCCTTTCCTCCGCCTCCTCCCTTTCCTCCGCCTCCTCCCTTTCCTCCGCCTCCTCCCTTTCCTCCGCCTCCTCCCTTTCCTCCGCCTCCTCCCTTTCCTCCGCCTCCTCCCTTTCCTCCGCCTCCTCCCTTTCCTCCGCCTCCTCCCTTTCCTCCGCCTCCTCCCTTTCCTCCGCCTCCTCCCTTTCCTCCGCCTCCTCCCTTTCCTCCGCCTCCTCCCTTTT